CAGCCCTTGTGCTTCGCCGGGCCCCGGGGCATTCCCGCGGGGGGGCAGGGCCGAAGCGAAGCGGGACGTGGCGCAGGGGCTGCGAGCTCTGTCCCCCTCGTGCCTGCCACCTTCCTCTGCAGGAGCCCGAGGCGGGCGCCAGGCTAGCGCGCTCCTGGCCGTGGTGTGCACGGGGGGCGGGGAGGGGTCACCCGAGCGGCCTGGCCGCCTCATGCCGAGCATCGCTGTCCCTCTCCTCGCTGTCCCTTCCGCGAAGCGAAGCGGGACGTGGCGCAGGGGCTGCGAGCTCTGTCCCCCTCGTGCCTGCCACCTTCCTCTGCAGGAGCCCGAGGCGGGCGCCAGGCTAGCGCGCTCCTGGCCGTGGTGTGCACGGGGGGCGGGGAGGGGTCACCCGAGCGGCCTGGCCGCCTCATGCCGAGCATCGCTGTCCCTCTCCTCGCTGTCCCTTCCGGCTTCTGGAGGCTTCCCTGCCTGGGTTTGCTAACCGCCCATGCCTGAATGCGCCGGCACTTACTGCTAAGGACTCGCACCCTGGCTGTCAGCCCCTGAGAAATAAAGATCAGCAGTACCTCCCTTCAACTGAGTCTCAGTGAGTTGTTGATACCCCTTCCTAGTCCCTGTTCCCACCGTGCTGCCAGCCACCCATTCCCCTTCCTTATGAAGATCCTGAAGCTACAGAGATGGAAGGAGGAGGACGTGGAGGACAGCCTCTGTTTTATGGTGATGTGCATCTCACTCATGAAGGCTAAGGTGGGTCTCTGGGAAAGTTGCTTTAAAGTCCTTCCTGTGCTTCATGAATGACTCGTGCCCCCAGAGGTTGCGGCAGCCTGCAGGTGGCAGTGTCAGCGGCAGGAGTGTGGTGGCGGTGAGCGGGGAGCTCCTGCAGGCAGCCACAGTGGTGTCAGCGGCGGGTGGGGGTGTGGGAGTGCCCAGCGGTTGGTGACCACCTGCAGACACCACTGGCAGTGTTGGCAGTGGCCAGCAGGGATTGGGGACCGCCTGCAGATGCCACCGGCAGCATCGCTGCCACTTTTCTCGGAGGGGTCCACCGCCAATCTCAGGCAGTGCAAGTGTACCCCCTACGCATCACCAATGTTGTGCTTCCATTATCGTATGCAGGCATGTGATATCTTAGTAGACCGAGTAGTCGGAAAAAAGTTATTTGCAAGCTTTCAGGCACAAGCACCCTTCTTCAGGCATAGAGAATCTCTGCTATTCTCATATAATAATGAGTCATAGCACTGATTCACTTTTTTCATTAGCCTTCCAAGTTTTGGTAGGGTTAATTTTAGGGGATTTCCTTCATGCAGAAGAAGCTTTCAAAAGAGCCACGTGCCATTAAAATAATATTCCTACTTTTGATGCAGAGTTTTCTTGCATGTAAAAGTAAAGGAAGGGTAGTTCTGCATTACGAAGCTACTTCAGTTGTTAATCTAACGTACGCTCAAAGATTTGTCTTCTCAGCAGAAAAAAAGAAGTCTGCAAACCATCTGGAATTTCAGGGCAAGCTGTGCTTTAAGATGTGGATCTGCAGATTTACAGATCCAAAACATGAAGGTTCTGGTGCATTGTGATTGATTTATTCCTGGAGTTATTTGTTGCATTTCCTTGAAAAGCAAGTTCTAAATTTAAACCAAGATTTTCTTTATAATCCTATTAGGGTCAGAACTAGTTTTTTCAGTGCATGGCTACTTAAGGGCATACTTTTTCCATCATGGGGGCAATTGGTTACTACCATTTTGCTAAACAAAATTAAACTAATTTTGATGCCCAGGGTAAACCTATCAATTGCTTATACCTAGTATTTTTTTTTCCTCTATAGTGTTTGTCCTTTTCGGATTCAGCACACTCCATGTGTCAGAAATCCATTGCAATCTAAATATTACAGTTTAGTTTCAAGGGAGTCAAAACTCACTGGTTTGATCAAGCACTATAATTCGAGGAAGCACTTTTTAATGTAAATTTACCATAGATCTGGGGCACTGATATGATCTTTTTCCCCAACAGTGAGCATTTTTTTTTTAACAAACTGCCCATTATTTGGGGTTCTTTGTAAGTTTAAAAGAAAAAGCAGTTATGGCTTATAAGTAAAAACTCCACAAATCACCTCCACCAGAATCTTGCCTGGAGTAGAGTTTTCAGTGTCCTTGTAATCTTTTATTGTAAATGATGGTATTAGATATTGTTTCTTTGAGAATTAAACATCCTAGTGTAGAGAGCTGGCACAATGCCCTAGGCATCTCTTGATGCCTAGGATAAACCCATCAGAAGGGCGGAAGTGAAATTTAAGGTCTTGGCACTGAGCTGATTTTCACCCTTGATACTTTAAGCATCTCTCATTCAATCTAGTGCTGTTCAGTGCTGCCTCAGTGCCTCACTGAGAGTGGCGCATGGATGAAGGCTAGGCAGGTAGCATTTAGATCCAGCCTGGGGCTTGAGCAAGCAGCAGTAGTTCCCACTCTGACTCAGGTTGCATGATGGCAACAGTAGCTTCAGTTCCACCCAGCACAATACAGTGGTGGGTGTGGCCTCTACTACATCCACGCTGGAGCTGAAGCTGAAGCTGCCATCACCGTGTTCCCCATGCCACGACAGCAGCTCCAGCTCCAGAATGGGACACGCAGCAGGAGCTGGTAGCTGGGGAAGTAGGGTTCATGGCAGTGGCAACAAGTGAAGCAGCAAGAAGGCAACGGGCTCCTGCTGCTAACCTTCATGCCCACAGGTGCCAAACGGCCCTGGATTCTGTAGCAAGCCACACCCTCCAACTTCCAGTGGCTCACTGGTAGCTCAGTGGGCCAGGTGAAGTGCCTCTGCAGGCGAAATCGAGGCCATAAGCGATGTATTTTGACACCCCTAGTTTAATCGCACAAAGTTCATGTGATGCTAGAAGGTTGAAGGAAGCAACTGCAATTTATAATGAAGATTAAATCTGCCACCTTAAGTAATATGTTCAGTTACCATTGCACTCCAGCAGAAGAGAAATGAAACACCAAGGCAGACATTTTAAATCATAGAAAATTAGGGTTGGTAGGGACTTCAGGAGGTCATCTAGTCCAACCCTCTGCTCAAAGCTGGACCTTCCCCAACTAGATCATTCCAAACAGGGCTTTGTTGACCTGGGCCTTAAAAACCTCCAAGGATGGAGATTCCACCACCTCTCTAGGTAACCCATACAAGTGCTTCACTATGCTCCCAGTGAGCAAGTTTTTTCCTAATACCAAATCTAAACTTCTCTTACTGCAACTTGAGACCATTGCTCCTTGCTCTGTTGCTCCATTCTCTTTGTAACCCACCTTTAGATAGCTGAAGGCTGCTATCAAATCCCCCGGCTCAGTCTTCTCCTCTGCAGGCTAAATAACCCCAGTTCCCTCAGCCTGTCCTCACAAGTTGTGCCCCAGCCTCCTAACCATTTTTCTTGCCCTCCACTGGACTCTCTTTTGTCTGCATCCTTTCTGTAGTGGAGGGCTCAAAACTGGTCGCAGTACTACAGATGTGGCCTAAGCAGTGCTGAATGGAGGGGAATCATTATTTCCCTTGATCTGCTGGCAATGGTCCTAATACAGCCCAGTATGCTGTTAGCCTTCTTGGCAACAAGGGCACACTGTTGACTCGTATCCAGCTTATTGTCCACTGTAACCTCCAGGTCCTTTTCTGCAG